TTCCCTAGCTGATGAAATGATTTGAAGTGCTTTCATATCAGCAGCATTGAGAATTGTCCGTTTAAAAATGTCCATTTTTGGTGTGAAAAGGGCATCGGACGATCCCTTTTGTCCCCGTACTGTAGCCACCGGCAACACCATTTTGAATAGACCGGGGGAGCCCTCAGCGACGCGACACCCTCAACGAGGCTTGGCGATATTTGGTAGCAAAGAATGCCCGCGGTCGAAGATAGTTGTGAGCCAAGCCATGCCGCGCCTCGCTGAGGGCTCCCCCGGTCTACCGTTGTGGAGAGAAGGATGATTTGGAGGCTCATTGCATGTATTTAATCGGGGGCTCTAGTTAGGTTGCATATGTAGGAGGGGGCGTGGCATGCAGGATTTTCTTCTTTTAGCTTTTCCTTTTCTCTCTTAGCAACACAAGGCACAATACATACACACAACACCTCGTGCTGGGCCTCGAACAAACGTAGAGCGCAGCAATGTCCTGGGGATATGGAAGGCCCTATGACAGTACCTGTAATCGGTTTACTATTCCCAAACCCCGTTTTAGCCAGACAGACAACTTCATAACATATATCTTCTTCGCGTTCTAATAAAATTCCGTCCGACAAAAATGACTTCTCGTTTCTGACTTTCTGTGTCGCTAGGTAGACTACTATCCACAATCAGCACCCACGCCTCGATGGGCTGAAAAGACTGGTCCAGTGCCGAGCACACTATCGATCACCTGCATTTGTCGAAATAAACCAGTATTTGCGGCGATGCTTGTATTCAAGAGAAACATGACGAATCGATCATTACACCAACGACTACCAATACAGGCGGAAAAAAACAAACAAAAAGGGTATCTCAAGTCTAGCTTCCAAGCGCAACCTGAGGTTTGATCGATATTTCGCTCTTTCGCCTTTATTTAGGGCATCTGCGCCTTTCCCTTAATTTTATTGCCGGGTCTCTTTTTCTTGGATTTTCCGGCGCTGCCCCTCGAACGAGGGCTAACTTCGGAGTCTGAGTCGGTAACGGATAGGAAGTCGCTATCGCTCATGTGGGCCACTATATCATATGAGCCAAGCTCATTGTCACTTGGCATAATCCCCACCTCCGCCTCCTCCTCACCATCCTCCTCCTCCTCCTCATCCTCTTGTTCAACCATCCCAACAGCACTAACAATCTTCCTTCCAGCCGCTTTAGGTCTCCGCCTAGTCCTCGACGAGAGCTCCCTGACCAGATCCACCCACTTCGTAGACCTTTTACACTCGGGACACACACCCTCCGTTGGTAACACCGCATACTTAGTGTCGGTCTGTAGAAAGACCTGGGAAAGGCACTTCACGTGAGCAATATGATTGCAAAACGCATGCGGGCAGACTACGGCCTCCACTCCACCCTGTGCAAATCCCCTGGCACAAACCCCACACCTTATATCTTCGTCACGCAGTAGATCCCTGGCTTTCTGCATGTGCCGGTCGAGATGGTGGTTGGTTATGTCGAGCCCCTGAAGGCCACCTTCCCCTGTCGGCGGGAACTGCTTCGTCTTACTCCCCGTCCAACGGGCCGGCGGGGACGGACTCCTCGAGTGCTCACTCTTTCGCAGGTCTAACGTAACCTCAATAGCTTTTAACGGACCGTATTTTGTGCTGCAGTGCGCCCCCCACGCCACGTACAGGTCCTCGGCGAAGAACCGTACAGACAACGGCCACCGCATGAACGCCGGCACGCGTAGGAGGAGGTTCAGGTTCTCCAGGAATACTTTCATACCCATGCGTGGGGTGAAGATTTTTGTTCTGCCCGAGTTGCTCGTTTTGCGGATGGATTTGCTGATGCGCTGGGATTCATTGATTTTCGAGGTTTTGTCTGGGTGTTGCCAGGCCCATTCTTTTTTTTTTTTTCATCACTATTAGTGATTACTCGGGGGCGAGGGGAGGCAGGGGAATTACTCAAATTGAAGAGCTGCCACAGCAGATGTAAACCCAGACACTATACAGGTCATTTCCCAAGGCCTCAAGTCGGCTCTACTAGTCCTTTCCGCTCCACCCTTCGTCTCACCATTATGTTGCGCGAGGCGACGTCGGGGATCTGGTGTTGAGCCTATATAGAAATACGTGGGGCGTACCGTTGAACGGAGCAGGTAACTTTACGAGCGATGCATTAGATCACCCTTTAGAACACATGTGGGGGGGGGGGGAGAAGCTCAACCCACACACAATAAAAGGCCGGCATCTCCAACGGTTCCATCCTGACTCTTTCCGCGCGAGCGAGCGAACTTACTCGCGCCGCGCAACAGATTCTCGCCCTTGAAGGTCCCAGTAATAATGGTAGAGTTCTATGAGAGATTGTCGAGAGTATCAATATCATACTCGAACGCCCAGAGTTCTGTTTTCTGTTTTGTTTTGGAACCAGGTTGTTGGCGTAATGCCGCGTGGTGCAACTAAGCGAAATCTTGGCAAATCTTTGTGTTGCATCATATCATACTCGTACCGGCAGAGCGGGCGCGTTGTCGGTCGAGTTAAGGTTTCAGACTTTCAATCGACTGAAGGCACGTTTAGCAGAAAAGGGAAGCACAAGTAGCCTTTCTTGGGAATGGTTTGACCTGTTGAAACGGTCGTACCCATATGAGACAACTGTGCTGCTATGGCTATCCCGAGACAAAGCAAAAACAAAACGGTCACCACATAAGTTACCGATGATTGCCAAACATCGTGATGGAAGGGTAACGGCTGTCCGCATATACGGTACATAGGGAAAACACAACGGGACGGTCGTATCCAAACAGGTCCTTAAGTTGTAGCGTTATTTGTGATGCGGTAGATTGCGGGTGTCATGTCATGTCAAGATGTTTACAGTTCGGATACCTCCTGAAGAATGTATGATATCGGGCGCTCCATCACTCTGGTACCTAGATTATACATATATATAGCATATCATGCGTAGTAGCCATAGTCGACGAATATCTCCCCTAGCATTCAATTGCTGGTGTGGTGTGGCGATATCATGGTTAGGTCTGTCCGTCCTGCTACTAGTCTCGTCCAATGTGTGTTCCGAGTACCATGCCGTGTACAGTAGTGTATGAGTTTGATACTCTACTCACGGCGCCGGTTTGCTCTGCCAGTTCCTATTCTGGAATCGCTCATCCTCGGATGTTTTGGCCTATATAAGACACTAAAGTGCCTCTGGCGCAACACTAGCTAAAGTGTATGGACACCTTAAAGCAAAGCTGTAACATTGACTACTGAGTCGCCAGTTTTCCTGCAGCCACAGTAACAATCCCCACATAAAGCATCACCGGCCCGTTTAATTTAGCTGCTAGGAGTGCGTGAAAGGAACAAACTTAAAACAAATACAAAATACTATCCATTAAATTTATTATTACCATGATGAATGATACATCTATTAAGCTTTTCATGAAAGCTTTAACAATGCCTATCGATCAATTCCTGTGGAAACTGTCTCCAAACCTCAACCAATGTAGCCTTTGCTTGCTCAACCGTTTCCTGACTAGTACCAGTAAATTGGTAAGCGGCAATCTCATCTTTACAATCATCCCATAGTCACTCAATTTGGCTAAGATCTTGTGATCTCAATGGCCATTTAAATGTGACGATTCCCTTCTGCTGGCATAGCTCACCATCGCCTTTCGTTGTTTCAAGTGAATGGAGGTGAATGTCATCCAGGTTCTTGAGGTTCAGAGTTTTCTTAGTATGGTTGCAATCATCGTTCCGTACTACGTTTTATTGGCTAAAATTCCCGAGGATGAGCGATTCCTTAATAGGAACTGGCAGAGCAAACCGGCGCCTTGAGTACTATATGGTACTGCGCATAAGCTGTACTAATACCGGTATTGTACCTTAGGTACCATCAATATGGGCTTACGACCAGGAACACTCAAAGGGCTCGGCGAATTCAAAGAGAACAGTCTAGCCAAGTATTGTATCATTCATCGAAAATTTGGAAGTGCCTACCTTTCTTACAAATTGTAGGGTGCTAAGAGTGTCACTGGAGCTATGATATATATCATAAAGTTAGGTTCCACTCCTGGCACGACCTAACCCGCCTCGGGATCTGCAATGCTAAAGTATGATACAGTACTATTTATCATACCGCATTCCTAATTTACCTATTGTATCAACACCTACTCCACCTACTACCACAACTATGATAATTATGACACAGTACCACCACCACCACAGCAATCCCAAAGTGACGGAATGAAATCAGAATTTCTACAAATGACCCCCCAACAAAATCGTGAAAAAAAAAAAAAAAAAGATTTCTATACTACCAAAGAGGTACTAAGTAGAAAAGAAAGGAGGGGGGGGGGAGAAACTCCCTACTGGTACTGATAAAGCACGACATGACTTGCCCCCGATCCAGAACGGACACAGCCCCAAGCCTCATGGCAAATCCCCATAATCTGGTAGAGATCCCATGTCTCATCCCCACGAAATAGGCAATCCGGGGGCCCACGGATGGCGCAACTGGCCTTTCTGGTACGTGGCGGTGTGACTGCACCCTCCGCCATTCGTGTCACAATTGCAGCAGTAGTGGTTGTTGAAGCGTACAGTATCGTACACGGTTCGGTTGTCCGAGAGCCGGGGGGCTGCCGCCCAAGGTCTGGCAGACGATTCTCCCACAGGGCACGTTGGTGTCGCGCAGTGGGGATATGATTGAGAGGGGTGAGACCGGGGTCTTCGAATTGGGCTTGGTCTAGGATTTGTAGGTTCTCGGTGAGGGGGAGCTTCTGCTGCTTCTGCTGCTAAGATGGTGTCGAGTTCCGAACGGGGAGGCAGGAGCCGTCAATGGTCGAGATGAATAGAATGGCTAGGAGGAGGAAGAGAGTTAATCGTAAAGTATCACGATAAAGAACTACCAGAAGAAAAATCAGGAGAAAAAGAAGGCACTTTATAAAACGGTCCGTATTTGAGTAGAATATCATAATGAGCAAAACTGAGAATGTCACAAGCGTAACAAGCACAACACTACAGAAGGCAGTTTATATTAAAACTGGACACATAGAGTAATATAACACTATGTATAACAATCAATGATCCAAATTCAGAATCACTTTCAAGTCTATGTCATATAAAACCCTCATAAAAGACATAGGGTCAACTACCCAGACAAGTACGATATCTCTCAAATCAAGCTCCACCCATCTCAAGAAAGAAAGTAAAGAAAATAATAATAAAGTCACCTCAAATCAGATTCCCACCCTTAGCACACCCCTAATAGACAATGATATAACTGGTATCGTCCAAAAAGACCACACCACCGGCCCTTCCATCCCGCTGACAGTCTTGCGCGACCCACCAGACCTCTGCCCCCATCTGAGAGCAGGGGATACACCTCTGAATCCCACAGAACCCAACGTCCGCGCCTCCGAACGCGATAATATTCGTGCATTCATTCCTGCGAATTGCCGTGTTGCAGCACATTCCAGCCCTCCGCTGCAGTTCCTGGACAACACCATAGATTTCTTGAGTTGTTGGGGAGGCGCCGGAGGTTTCGCAGCGACGCCAGGATCCAGGAGATGGGCTGTCGATAGTGCTTACCACCGCTGCGTCGTTGGAGGTCTCAACGTTGCTGTTGTCAGGACTGCCAGAGGCCGGGGCGGAAACAGGAGTTGCGGAAGAAATGGTGGCCAAATTGAGTAGAGAAATGGTGAGGAATATCAGGAGGGTGAAGAGGGTGGAAGTCTTGAAGACCATTTTGAAGGATGGGTAGATTTATTTGGAAAAAGGGTTGATATGATGAAAGAAAGTCTTGTAGGTATAAAGTAGAGATTTCTTTTCCTCTTTGGGTGTTTCTTCCAAGTTGCTGGTGGTGGTAGTGGTGGTAGTGGAATAGATCTGGTAAGAAGGGTAAGAGCTGACTTTATAGCTTTAACAACCACCATATTATATTCTACATCAATATAAAGTTGCTGAGAATCTATTCCGTACACCATAATAGAAAAGAGAGAAAGGAACTTGTAATGCTCTTTTCACTGCGCTATACTAATCAGGTTATCGATTGAATAGAACACCCTTCGCAGTGCTGCTGGTGCAAATTTGTCTCTCGTATCACGCCACAGTCCAACACCATCATCGCCACCACCTTACAAAATCGGACCAGTGCTCCCAAGCGGCCAGTACGTCCGTCCTTAGCTTGGGACAGGACGGAATTCCAGTTCCTGGATCTCTGCCCTGGATGGATGGACGCCCGTCCTGTGGTCCGTCCTAACCTCTACCCGGAACGGCCGGCCAGGCCCTATAGGCATCTCACCCGCAAATGGCCCTGCAACCGGGAGCCGAAAGATGCCATTTGTATTAAGACTCCCGGGCCCGGGCGCCAACCCCTCGGACGGCGGTCTTTACCAAAGACGGACGCCATACCCTACCGTCCTTACCCACCCTGCCCAGTACACCCGGGACTATGATACAAGCCCGCCAAGGCCCTGTAAGGCGCCCGGGACCGTTGGGAACATTGTATTGGACCGGTATCATAGATGGATCCTCTCAAATACCACTAACAACCTGTACTACAAATCTCTACGGCAAAAAAAAAATCCATCCAAAATCCGGGTCGTTGCCCGAAGCGATCGACGACGCCATACCGCATCCACTAGCGATCCCCAACGAGAAGATCCACATTGCGCCAGGGGCGAGAGACTAGAATATCAATAGCGGAGGAGGAGAGTGAGAGAGAGATTATCCCCGTATCACACGACAGATAAGTACCATCATAATTATATACGCTATAGCATCCACAACTTCCAATCCTATCCATCGCAACCCCCCCCCCCCCCCACCCCCACCCACAAACCAACCATCACAAAACATCAAGGAAAACAGTACATCCGTAGAAAGCCAGGTTAGTGGAAAGCATCGAGTGATACCTCATGCATCAACATGCATGCACACGCGGTATATTATTGTAGATACCCCCCCGACACCACCTGTTCAAACCCGCAGTCACTCCGCACCGGTCCGGTGCAAGCTATGCTGGTTCCACATTTCCCGAGTAACTACGTGGAATTTCAGGCAACGCGGTCAATAATATCCATCTCACAGGTACCCTCCCTCCCCCCTCCCCCGCCGCGCAACGATTATAATTTCGACCAGTGTGGTGGAGACAGGATGTTCCCGTGATACCTCCGCGGCACATAAATTATTCCTTCCAGAGTGTGGTAAGGACCCGGGCAAGGCAAGAAAAGCGAGTGAAGGCCGTGCCGGGCGGAATAAGCGTCGTATTACCATAGATAATACCACGTTTTGTTTGTTATTATTATTATTTTTTAATTTTTTTTTAAAAAAAAAAAAAAAAAAGTTGGAACAGCAGTGAGTAAGATCATGAACGAAGAATGGATAGAAAGAGCCATGGGGGGGGCAACAAAAGATGATCAATGGAGAAGAAGGTAATAACTCGGGAACTATACCCGAAATGAAAGAATGAAAAAATGAAAAAAAAAAAAAACTCCAGAGAAACGGACTGCGATCTAACTTATGATACTTGATTCCGCTTCAGTTATACTGCGTAAAACCTAAGCCTAAGCATACGCCCCATCCCCAACCTACACGAAACAATACCGGTATGACATGACACCATACCACAGTTACGGCAACCAGTCTCAAGCACGATACTGTAACAAACTCACTCACGGCGCAGCATGCACCAGGTCGGGTCATGTCAGGAACGATCAGATCAGTATGGTACATCCATTGTAGCCAAATCATGCACAGCAACTCGACCAGACAGAACCAAATTCGAATATCGTACTGTACTGCAACTGCACTATCATAGACCCGTAATGGATAAATATAATCTACAAGCCGGGCTGATATAAGAAAAATAAAAAAAGCGCACGCCCACACGTCCTATCCCATCCAAGCCAGGTAAAACCATGATATCAACAATAGCTAACTTTTCCTCAACAAGGAAAGGAAAAAGGAAACAACAAAAAGGTGATAGAATTTACACAGAAATTAGAGAAGAAAAAAAATTTGAAAAAAGAAAGGGTGGTAAGTTGATGGTTAAGAAAGGTTACGCAACTCCTAACCCACATGCTAGGACTGCCTACCAAGAGCTAAGGGGATGAAAGGAAATCCTGTTTTTTGTTTTTTATATCATATTAAGAAAATTATCCTTCCGCGTGCACTCATTCGTTGACCTGTACAGCACTGTACAGTACGTGGGTAGGATGGAGGGGGGATTGAGAGGAACTAATCAATCGAGAAAAAAAAGAAAAAAAAGAAGCAATGGTGATATCCAGCCAACCGACAAACTATAGCTAGCAATGGGCATACAAGGGGAAACAAAAGATATAAGAAAGGAAGAAAGAAAAATCCCAAAAGTTCCTGCCATGGAGATGACTGACATGGACGACCAAATCCCCCACCACCCACGGCTCCAACTCCAAGACAGTCAGACAATCATACGCATCCAGTAAAATAGAAAGCAAAGCATTCATGACAGCAACAACCCCTCCCTCCTCCTCCATTCCTCCCACCCCTACTCCACAAACCAGATCCATCAATCTACAGCAGGATACCACAGCACGTGCCGCAGCCATAGCCTCCCCATCTTCAAAAAGTGGTCTGCCAACGCGGAGAACTTACTTCACCATCTACCGATGAGGTGTTCCCGGTCCCGGTTTGAAACGGTCGAAGACAACTATTCATCCACCCTACCCCAGCCCCCCCCCCCCAAAAAAACTGAAAAAATCCCAACTTCGTATCACACGTTATAGCCTCACAGATGACGGGAACACTCAGGAGCACACAGACACACGCACTGGAAGGAAATATCAAGAAAAATAGGTAGAGAGGGACAGAAGAAAAAAGGAGGGGGAGGTAACAGGGAATGCAAAGTATGTCGGCCAGTAGAAAAGTAAAGCTAGATTCTCGACATGATTGACTCCATCCCTCTCTCCCAATAGCTATTTCGCAGCTCCACAAAAACCACCCCTAGACCCGTGACAAATGAAAGAGTTAAAAGGTTTTGGACACATTCAAGCTATGTTAGGATGAGCTGTAAAAGTAACAGAAGGAAAGAAAAAAACTCCAGGCTCAGGTATGAATGATAATGGTATAGAAGTGGAAGTAAAGAAAACTACCAGAAGGAAAGAAAGAAGAGAGAGAGAGAGAGAGAAGACAAAGAAAAAGATTAGACTCTGTCTTTCTTATCTTTGAACGTGCAGCCAAAGTTTCGGATTCCGGCTCAGTGCAACAGCCAAATCGTTATCGTTCGACAGCTCGACATATGTTCCCGAAGGCTCGTCTTTATATCGGACAGAACTGATATCCGCTCCTAATCGTTCCTGAAGCTTCTCTTGCAACTGAACATAAGACACGTCCTTTGGCAGGCGGATCGCAATCAGGTCGTCACCGCAGGTAATCTTAACCTTCATGAACTGCCCCGGCTGCGAAGAGTTTGATCCTTGGGTTGCAGCGCTCATTGAACTATCCTGTCGAAGCATGCGTGGGGGTTGTAGATCGGAGGTCGAACGAATGTGAACCTGCTGGGCTTGAGAGATACCGTTGGGTCCTGCCATTCGGGGCTGTTGTCCGGAGCTCCGCGGAGGGGGCGCCGATAAGCCAGGGTATCCATTCCCACCATTAGCCCCATTAAGATTATGTTGCGAAGACTGTCTTGACGGTTCCCTCGACGAGTCACTAGACTGTTGCGATGCAGTGGAACGTCTGTTATCGTGGAGGGAAGCCTGCGATTGTCTGTAACCGGTTGTTTCCATATCTCCAGGTCGAGGCGCGAACAGTTGCTTTACCAGCTTGCTCCTGGATATATAGGTGGGCATGGCCAACAATTTTTTGATGTATTCATCCAAACTTTGTCTCCTAGCGGCAGAAATGGTGTCGGTGACGTACGTTACGGGTCCCGGCATGTAAGGTAAAGAGCGGGGTTGTCCAGTGTGACCGGCCTCATCCTTGAATTCATCCAGCAGAGAAATTTGAAAGTCGTAGAAATCCTCATAGAACCGGCATAGGATCCAACTTCTACCATCCTCCATTGTCGCATTGAGTACGTACCAGTACCGACCATGCTCGAAAGAGTAGCTGTCGACCGATGCAGCCACAGGTGCCAAATATTGGCCCTGCGAGGACGATCTCGAGTGGCGGTATTGATCCGAAGGACCGCCACCATTGGAATACCCCTGGAGCGTCTAATAAAAAAAACGGTCAGCGGCAGATCAAACAAAGCATAAAGTGATGGATGCAAGACAACGTACATGTCTATTCTGACTGTCACCCATCGACATGTTCTGCATCTGTCCCTGGGCTTGCGCCGTCTGTGCATCAAAGTCGAATTTGCCGAGTGAAATGCTACTATTTTTATACTCGGCAGCCATCCTCTTCCATTCCTCTACCTTTGGTACGCCAGCACGCGCGATCGCAGCCTGGGTGTCTTCCACGATTTGACCGGTAACCATATCCCTAATCTCAATGAAATCTACCGGAATCAAGCCAGGGCCGCCGAGCCTGCCGATCGGCTTCGCGACAAACCAGTCCTTATCAGATTGTGCAACCACTATAATTGCCTCACCCGCCTTTGCTTCCAATTCGTCAGCCCTCTCAGCGGCAAAGTCATACTGCACGACACCATAGAGCGGACTGCCAGATTTCCCAGATGTACTCATAGCTCTCGGCCTCTCGGTACCACCGGAAGAAGAAGTGACATGCTCTTGCGATCCAGCGGTCGCGCCCCGATCAGAGTACCCGGAGTCGGTCCTTAGAATGTCACTGGCACCAGAAGCCGCGGAATCCTGACTACCGCGCCCGCTCTTGCCCAGCGTTTGAAAGTAAGTGGCCGGGACCAATCCCCTCGCATTCGAAGCCGGATTGCATGCTTCGTACCATTCGGGGTCGTCCTCTCTTCCTATAACGTGGAAGAAGTCACCCTTGGAGAAGCTTAATTCCAGATCACTTGCCGCCGTGTAGTCGAACAATGCCCGAATCACCTGCGTTACACAACGAATTCCAATTAGCCCCTGTTTTCACCTTTTGAGAATTTTTCCATTCCCCTCCAAATACACAAAACAAGATTAGAAAGATATATTCTCTTCTCTCCCATTCCCTTCAACTCGGCGGGTGACGGTGATGATGGTTTAAGAAACAAATATACCCTGTATTGAAGGGAGAAACCAACTTTTTTAGGGGGCTGGATGGTGATGGCGGCCTTTGGTGCAATAGATAGGTGCGACGCTTTCGGACCTGAGTACGTATCTGTCTTGTCGCCCTTGAGCGACTTTCGAATGCCCTGTATTTCAAAAGAAAGAAATGATTTTTCACGATAAGCCTGCGTTCCACCTCTTCCTCCAACACTTCTCCTAGTCTTGGACTCTTGGGTCCGCTTGTTATCTACAAGCTGTGACAGCGAGCGACCCACCTTCATCATTTTTGTGAAATATCGTCTTGTGCGCAAACAGCGGCAACAGGCGACAACAACTCAATAGAGTGATCAAGAGCAAAGTAGATTATCTCGGGTAAGGGAAGCGCGGTGGGCGGATGTATGTTTGTGTGTGCGTGTACGTGTGGAAGGGGGGGGGGGGGGGAGTACGGGGTACGGTAGGCGAAGGGATGAAGGCAGAGTAGAAAAAGAGAAACCAAGGAATGCGGTATGCCCTTCTGAGACTAAGTGATGTTGATGTCCGTTCCCTATCGCTTCTTCCTTTGTTGCGAGAAGGGGTTCCGGTACTGTAACGCGGTCGATGGGAGGGGGGGGTTTGGGGGACGGAGTGGAGGAGGAAGGAGGGAGGGAGGAGGGCGATAGTAATCTAGCGGGGTACGGATGGCAGGGTAGGGTGCGCGCGAGAGTGAGGGTTGGAAGCCGACGGATGGTGGACAGATTCCTACGGCACCCTTTTCTTTTTATTGTTATTTATTTTTTCGATTTTTTTCGATTTTTTCCACTCGCCTATCGCCCCAGATGTAGGAAGAGGTGGAACCTTTGGCGCGAGTGGAGGGGGGGCTCAAGAATCGAGTGGACTGGGCAGGGCTGCAGGATGGGAAAGAGCGTACCGTGCAAGTCCTCTACGAGTACTGTAAGGAATGAAAGGGAGGGGGGATGGCTGCAGACCCGACCGGTCTGTGCGAGCGGGGGGGGGGCGGTGGCGGGAGGAGAGTAGGGTCTTCTGTCGTCAATAAGGAAAACGGTTGACGCCGTGGGTACAAGCCGTTGCGGAATGGAAGAAGTCGAACAGGAAGGGTGGAGGAAGAGCAGGAGAGGGGCTCCAAAATCGATAATATGGGAAGGGCGGGCGAGGAAGTGAAGGGGAAGGGAAATAGGGAGTATCGATGGATGCAGCAAGCCCCGGCGCGCGGTAAGGGGGGGGCTCGAGCAAAAGGGTTCTTGGTCGGTGGAAACCAAGTCAACGGGGGAAGAAGGGTGGGGGGGTGGAGGAGAATGGGCTCAAAATTGACTGGAATCGAGTGAAAGTACTGGCAGGGTGGAAAGGGGAGACTTTCGGTCAAGAAGTCGATGTAAAGGGCGTTCCTCGAGTGAAGGGGCAGGTAAATATGATCATATGGCAGGCGTGGGCAGAAAGGGAGATAGAAAAGGGTAGGTACTATGCAACCCAACTAGGTATGATAGCTCTCTCTTTTCTATCCACTCGTACTCGTAGAGGGCCCTTCGATTCGATCCCCGGTACTGCAAGTTAATTGACACAAATGTCCTGGCGTTGATGCTGTTGTTGATCTGATGCCGATTCTGTACCGAATATACTCGAGCACAACACCACAACAAAACAAAAAAAGACCCTCTTGCTCTCTATCTTTCCTCCGTCCTTCTCTCCTTCCACCGCAATCCCGCTTTCTTTTCGCTCAGAGGGGAATAGAAAGCGCGAGGATGAAAAGGAGAAAAAAAATAATACTAGGAAAGAGCCAGCTATAATGACAGAGCGCAAAACAATAAGCTACGGTACAAAGGCAGGAGGGGAAGGAAAAAAAAAACCCTCCCTGCATTACCAAATCGAGACAGGCCTCTCTTCCGAAGAAGAAAGTAATAAAGTGCCGTGATTAGCTAATGCAGCCAAAGGCGGAAGCAGCCCAAAGGAAAAGTATTGCAGTGTGGGGGGGGGGGTTTAAACGTTATATCCCCGTGTCTACCGGTAGCACTCCAGCAGTACCGTACTCGTAGTCCTCCAGGGGACAAGGGAAGGTAAGGGAAGTGAAGGGAGTGTCGACCATGCATCGGAAAAATCCAAACCCTTGCTCCCACTCTGCTCCCTCAACAACCAACAATGGAAGGAAGGAAGGAAAGGAAAGAAAAGAAAAGAAAAAAATGAACCCACCGGTACTAATACAGTTGGTATCGCTCGAAACAGAATATCTCACTCGTGATCCGTTTCTCAATGGGGAAAAAAAATGAAAGAAAGAAAGAACACAGTCCACGAAAAACTTGTAGCCGCCCTCAGCGGGACCCCAACAGCCGTTAGGCGAGACAATGCCAGACCAGGACAGCTAATTTCTCACACTCTCTCTTGCCTGTCGGCGCTGGCACTGTACTGTACTGTACCACTCGAATAAACTCCCTTGCAAACTTTCAGCTTGGGGGGAGGAGGACGTATTGGCCGCAGAGTCGAGCGGTGTGCACCGAACGAGTAAAATGGAGTCGATAAAGGAGTGCGGCGCGGAAGCTAGTGAAATGAGGTGGTATGCGGTCTATCAGTCCGTTCTGCCTGCCTGCTTGCCTGCCTTTCTGTTCAGGCACGCTTCGAGTACTGTACAGTACAGTAGCGCACAGGGTTCTCTTTTCTTCGACAAGATGGAACGGAAGAGGATTATTATGGACAAAAGGATGAAAGGGGAGGAAAAGTCATGCGGTACTGTAACCCTCACGGTACAGCAGCAGCACGGTATATATGGAGGAAGCGGAAGGAGACAGCCTTCGCTCGGATAGCCTCTTTTTTTCTTCTTCTATCATACCGCAGCCTACGCTTCCAAAATATTCCTCGGGAGTATCATACGGTGTCCGTTCCATAGGATACGATGCGAGGTAACCATGGAAGCCTCCCTCCCTGGCATCGTCATCAGGCTCATAGCAAAGTACCGGTACATTGCAGTAACACAGAGATCCACAAGTACTACATGTACAAGTATATACGGTAGGTTCGAAGAGCAAAGCGCATCTCAATAACCAGTAATTACGGTATAGTACCGGTACCGTATACAGGTAGTCCATCATCCAATCGACTGCCGCATTTCATCACCCCTTTAAAAAAAATCCCGTTCCCCCAACCCCCCTCATCCATCACCTTATCACACGATACAAGTACCAACCCCTCCCCATCCACAAAAAAAAAAAAACTCCTATTCCCAACGGTCATATCGGTTCGCACTTTACAAGTACAAGTACAGTACAGTACAGTACATCACCACAGTAGCATAACATCAACAACACCCACCCACCCACCCAACCCCGCCTCCCAAAACCGTTTTCAATTCAAACAACCTCGTCCACGTTCAATTTCTATCTCTATCCATCACCCCGCCTCCTTCGTAGAAGGGGTGGGGGGGGGGAAGGAAGGAAGGAAGGAAAATTGCCACGTGCCCACCGTCAGAGGAATCGAATTGATACAAAAAAGTAATTATGGTGATGCACCGAAGGCGCTCGGGTATGGTACAGAACAGTACCGGTAACTGGACCTGATTCGAATTTTGCACAATTCGTCACTCGAGCCCATCGTGTAGTGCCAGCCAGCCAGCCAGGGGGGGGCTGAAGTAGCCCGATGCATTGAATTGGGCTGGGTCGAACGAAAGAAAGAATGAATGAATGAATAAATGAAAGGGGGCTCGATCGAGTGCCCCGATATGGCACTACGATACAATTGGAAGAGTATATACTGTCATGATGATTTGGAAGCGTTCTTTGGATGATACGATTGGTACTCGTACCGGTTCGGCGCTCTCTACTCTGCTCTATAAGTTAGTGCCTTTTGCTATATTGGTGTTGATAGCTGGATAGTATGGTATGGTATAGTATATAGTACGGTATGGTACAGTGCAGTGCAGTGCAGTATTCGCAAAAGACACAAGTCGGTATGATATACCGTAGGTACCGTTACAGTACCACTCTTTGCACCCGCGCATACACTCCGCTCCAATAGACCAGGTTATAATACTATACACACGGTATCATACTATCCTCCATGCACCCAACCTCATCCCTCATCCTCTTCTCTCCTCTTCCCTTCCCTTCCCCCCTTTCGCAGCCTGCCTGGCTAACTACCTACCTACCTACCTGCTCACCTTCCACATCATGCCTACTTACCATACAACACCCTAAAACACTACCCAGGCCCAAACACAATAATAGCACCTTGGCAGTAGTAGTAGCATGATACTATCACACCCGGAGGAATGGAACCTTCCTTCCTTCCTTCTTTTCTTCTTCCCCCCCCCCCCCGGTACTCGGAGCATTGTCAATGCATATGCATAAACACTCAACTACAGACAGCCAAAATAGATTTTTTTTTTATTATACGGTAGCCTCGATAGCTGCGCACTTATGCTACAATTGGGGTGCGAACAGCCTGGCCCGTACAGCGTAGTCCATGTAAACTTGGGGATCCGTGACGTGACGTATGTTGCTCGTCCGATGATACTTCGATGCCCCACTCCCCTGCACTTTGAATATTATTATTTTTCCTTTTTTTTTTCTTTTCCTTTTTATGATAGCAGCCTGACCGGGCTGGATTGGGTTGGGTTGGGGTTTGAGGCTCCCGGGGTTGAGAGTTACGGTAAATTTAGTGAGTGAGTGAGTGGGTGTGAGTGTGGGTGAGTCGAGCGAACGAGTGTATCTGCATCGTGCTGTCCGCTGTAGGTGCCGTAGATCATGTCTAGCATGGGCTTCGAATCTGACTGCGGTGCGGTGTAGTGCAGCCTGGTGCATCAGTTTAGTGTACGAGTACGGTACGGCACCGTACCGGTACTGTACCGCGCTTGGGTATGAGTGTCCACGCCATGCTGTGCGGTACTCGTACAGTACGCTAGTCTGGTGCCGCAGTGGATCATCATATCACTGCGAACACCCCCACAATACAAGTAATACGAGCGATGCTATTACAATCCCTCGCCCAACCTGCAACCTCACACAATTAGCACCTCCACTCGCACATCAAAAGCCGATTCCCTCCAGTTCTCCACCCAACCATTCATTCTCTCGCTCATCCACTCACCCACTCAAGAATTTATGGTAAATTTATGTAAATTATCAGAACTTGTGAAAAAGGGCCAATGGTGTATCATACAAACTATCCACAGCAAAAGAAGGAAGAATTTGAAGCAAAAGAGGAAGAGAGAAAAAGAAAAAAAAATAGCAACCGCCCCTACAGGGGGAAAAGAAAAGGAGAAAAAGAAAAATGCCAAAACGCCCTTCCCCTTCCAACCCATATATCGGCTGACCTCGCATGCGAAAATGAAGAAATGGAAATGTAAGGAAAAGAATTTACCGACCGGAGGCCAAGAGGTGAAGAGCGACGGAGGAAGGAAGGGGAGAATGCGCGAAAAACCGATAAAGGAAGGCGGCGGATCGACGGAACAAAAGAATGAACGACCCGGAGCTCTGATATGCTTCTTCTGGTTGATTTTTGTTCTCTGTTCTTTCACCCATATTTTGTCCTTGTTTTTTTTTTTTGTTTTTCCTTTTCTGAATGTCCTTTATTGGTTGGGTTTCTCGCTCGTCTGCTCACACCCATCATCATCTCTCCCAAGACTCTTCTACTGTTGTTGTCGCGGTCTCAAGAAAGGGGAATACGTTTGCGAAGGAAGGGTATTTGAGGCTCGGCAAAGAGATATTTGATATATAGGGAAATGAGATTTAGCAAAGGGTTGGCGAATGTCACTGTTATAGTTGACCCTTGATATCAACCTTACTGAACGCAGCATTTTTGGCTCGTTCGAAGAGTGGGAGTGCTTTCGCTGTCTGGAAGCGGATCGAGTTGGGTACCCCCTTATCACCCGTCTTCTGCTCAATCAGGTCCGCAGCCTCGTTTTCGCAGAGAAAGTTGACGCAGTCGGTATCGCTCTCAAACCCGAGCTCCTCAGTCAAAAATCTAATATCAATATCGGGACGGTAACTTATACGAGGCAGGAAGGGTCACGCCAAATATTAGTAGTTTTCTTCTGGAAAAGAACTAGCGACAACGATTGTTTTCTTACCCTTTACATATCATGCACATGGCAGCCTTTCTCTCACGGGCAACGAAGGAATCCATGAGGTAGCCTCCCATGGCTGGTGCCTCCAAATAAAGTCTGAAAAATCTGTGAAAGTTTCCAGCAGCTAGTACTGAACGGACCTCTAGCGCATGCTTAATGGCTTTTACTTCTTTGTCTGCAGGGGTTAAATTTGCTAAGAGCTCGTTCATGTCGGCCCGATTGCATGTGTGAAGAAGGTAGAGAATACGATACGCCTTGAATTCCTCCTCATGGCCTTTGAAGCCTTCACGATAAAGCGAATGGAGCTGGGTCTGACACTGGTTATACTCACCCAAGTCACCCTATAATCAATGATTACTTAGTTTGAATATTCCATAGGAAGCTGCTGACCGACCCCATACCTTTTCCAATGCTATCCGTGCATGAATTTCGTAAACTGTAACAACAAAGTCGTTTTTGATGTGCTGAACTGTTAGGTCTTGTCGAAGTGATTTAAACTGATCGCAAATATATGAATAGTTTGCTTCCGATCTCCATTTGCGCTTGAGCATCTCCAGGGTCCTCTCAAGCACATGTAGTGGGCGCACATGATCTGGATTGGGGGCTGAAGTAAGACGAAAATATCGTTTCTCTAAATCCATGCAACGACCAATCAAGGGCTTCTTGTTATCTGGAGCTTCTGGGGTGGCCGAGCCGGGCAAATATTCACGCCTTTCATCCTCAAACCGTTTCGCACGTTTATCCTTTTCACGTTGACTTAGTTTACCCGATGTTGGGAGGAATTTGTCACCCTGACGAGATCGCTTGTCAAATCTCTCTTCGAATCTGTCTGGGGCTGGGGGTGTTAATTCTTCGCTAGAGCCGGTACTAAAACGCGCTGGTCAACCGGGGGATAAAGACGAGATGTGGAATACTGGGGCACGATCGCACTCACCTCTTGCGTTTTTTTCCGGGATGGTCCACGTCCATAGCATTACTGTAATTAGGTTTTCGGATGAACGGGGAAGATGGTGACGATCCGGTTTCATTACTGACTCGGCTCATCTGGCCCATAGAAAGTGTCTTTGCTGTTTGCTCCTCCTTTGCAGTCACTTTCTTCCTTGCCAGTATGGCCTGAGGAAGCGGCATCTTATCCCACTCCAAACTCCAAACAACCTTCTCATTAAAGGCATCTGTGATTATTCTCTTGAGCTCTAACTCGACAGCAACCTTCTCCTCCGGTGGGCAGTCTTCGAAAGTTCGGGCAACATAATCCTTCAACTTGTCTGGAAACTGCGTCTTCGGAGTTTGTTCAGAAGCTGAAGTTTGAGTGAGAGTCTGATTTGCATAAATTAGCAAAGAAAGTTCTATAGCAAAGGTAAGTAGATATAGGGTGGAAGAAGGAAAAAAAAGATAAGGTTGCCGCGTACCTGAGTGCCTTCATGGTGAATGGGGCGACTGGAGAGCGTCTTGCGAGAATTAACAGAGTGAAACGCACCATTCCCTAATTGTAGCATCATATCAGTTTAGGGATGAGGCAGTAAAAATACAAGTAAGTTTGTTGGGTTCGGACGGGCTATTCGGAGCATTTCTCGGGGAAGAAGAAAGAGTACCTACGATTGTTTCCGTTAGTACTACCCGATCGCCATGGTGGTGCAGACATCGTGTCAACGTTTTATGTTTGGTGGCCGATTAGTTGGGGAGGATGGTTTGGAAAGGGAAGGGACAGGATGATTAATTAGACGAATACTGCTGTATTATGACAAATTAGTGAAATCAAGCGGCCTGACCCTGTGAGAAAGCAACTTCAAAGGTAGGTTGTGGGGTCAGGTTGGTGGTAGAGAGAGAGAGAGAGGAGGGAGGGTGTGAGGAGGCGAGAATGAGGAGGCAGGTGCGAGGGTTGCTACGAGAACCCCGGTTGGTGCCAGAGTGCGCGGAGGGTTGTGTGGGACAGAAGGATAAGCTACGCGCACCATGGCGTATTCGCAGTCATTGCCATACAGGTCTACGGAAGAGAGACAAAATGATCGCAACACCGGTACAGCGCCTTGCTATGGTAGTGACTCAGTCCCTGATACATAAATTTGGTTTTATCATGGAGCCCCAAAAGCTCTTCAACCGCATTATGTTTTCTCCCTACTTTATTCCTGGACCTGCTGCCCCTGCACTCCCATTTCCCCCTTTGAGGTATCCTGAAGCGATAAATTCGCCTGGCTCATAAGTGTGGCGGATCACGCGCCCGCCTGAATTTTACATCTCGGACTAAGGATGCGGTAGCCCATTTGCCCAGTTTGCCGTGGTAATCACCCCCAGCACCATACACGTATCCGGAGATCGTAGGCACCGCGGACTGCAGTATCGTATCCGACAAGAAGCACATATTCAGAACCTCAAAGATTTCGAGACCCGGGTTCGGAAATATTTTGGTAACCATCTATGTCCAGTACCGTACTCGAGTACATAACGTAACGGTGTTATTATTTAATGTAGGGCAGTTATCATACGATTAAGTGGCCAAGGCATATAAATATTACGATTAAAGCGTGTGGGATACGGTTACTTGTGGCAAGTGGGTAGGGGGTGTTAATTATCCACCTGGATATGATACTCAAAGCTGCTAGTTCTCCACGGTTCTTACCCGCCCAGAGGGAGAAGTACGGTATCCGAAAACGTGGGATTCGTAAAATATACTCGAGTAGCAGAATAACCAGGCGTATCTGAGCGTCCATGCGAACTCACGACTCGTATTTTTTCCAGGCTCCTTTGCCTGGGACGAGTATCGACAGGTTAGTCCCTCTCCCCACCTTTCAGGAGGTGTCACCCGCGATGCTTGGGTACCGTACGTACGGGTAGGCAACTTTACTCATGTCGATGTCCCTGGATTGAAGCCGCGTCTTCTTTGTTGGTGGGTCACCACCAAAATAGGAGCGACTTTGATCCGGCGACTTGAGTACGGTGCCGGTAGTTGAGCAGGATACCGGCAGTGCAGCGAGCCGTATGAATGAGTTGGCATCTTTTTTGCTCAGGTTAAGCCTGAGCACTCGGGTACGAGTACCGTACGAGGATCGTATCAATTCCACCGCAGGCGGCGGTCTCCCGCTACCCTATCGTGCTCGGCATCTAAAGAGTAGCTCGTGGTCCAGCACCAGTCTAGAAACCTGCAGCGTATTGTTCCTCGGGTACGGTATGAGTTAAGCGCACAGGGGGTTTTTCAAAATTGGAGATACCATTTTTCAGAACTTTTCAGCAACGAGCGAACCCGGTATCTTGCACTATATTGCTTCAGCCTGAGGGTGCTAGCCAATAATGTCCCCATGTTTCCAGTAATGTAGTATTTGGGTGGGGCAGCCGGGGTAATCTGAGGCAAGAGTTGTAGGTTATAGTAGATGTTGCAGATGCGGAAAAGTCTCACTATGATATTCAATACTAAGCTCAAAGTTATGGCGAGATGTCTGTGCAAGTACAAGTACCATACCTATCGTAGCAGGAGCATTTTGCCAAGAAAAATATGGCTCAACTTCAATTCCGAAAGTATTTTCGGCAACGTCTCCAATGGGCATCGTGTGTCTATTGGGTGATAGAGTAGGCGATCCTCTACACACTAATATAGAGAGGAAACAAGAACATCTCAATTTTTCATTGAGATATCGGGTTTCAAGGGTAAGTCTAACTTTTGGGTTAGAGTACCGTAGGGGAATGTCTGGGAAGTGGCACTGTGGATCAATTTTTGAAATTCAATTTTCCTGGCGCGGCCGGTTAGTGGCCAATGCCAAAAGGCTAACCTATATTAGGAAGCGTGGTATATTATTAACATTCTCTTACTAAGCCAGCACACAAGGTCCCTCACTATAATCCCTGTCTTGTCCAAAACGTATCATGGGACACTTTTGCCTGGCCGAAACAAAACGACCTACGGTATCGTAAAGCAAAATTGAGTGATGGTGAGGCAGCAGCCATTGTGTGCACCGGGTTTGCACGCGGGTACAACAGTGGGATGAAATAAAAGAAAAATCAGTCTTTTCCAATTTTCTTTTGATTTTGAAAACGACTTCGGTACGGTACTAAGAGCGCCTTTGCCTTTTAGAAACTGCTGCAAATCTCAGGCACTGAGAAGGCACGCGGGGGAACGGGCGAACCGGTATAACACGATAGGAATAGTGCTTCATGCACCGTATTTTTAGCCTCCAGCTCTCGTGCCCACGGGAGATAATACAAACACCACTCTTGGGCGTTCACATTTGCCGAAAGGTGCTGTATTTCAGGGTATCATAGTATAATAATAATGTCACGAAAATGTGCGATAGTAAATTATCATCGTTGGGTATCGATATGCATGCCGGCAGGCACCCTGCTTCGACCGCTTGAGCACAACAAACCCAGCTACCTACTGTACGGTCTGGTCTGTACCTGCCCTAAAGTATGGAGGGTCACACCGGTAGTGTGTTATTCCAGCAGTCTCACAGTCGATACTCCCCCGTTTGCCGGTACCGGTAGACCACTCAGCCGGTGAACTTTGTCGACGCTCTCTGGGTCTTCGGATCCCGTGATCCACAGTGAGTCCGCAAAGGATGGGAGGCTGGAGGTTTGGTGTAGACAAGGAGCGGGTTTAGGGTAACGTTACTTTGTGCTCGAGGATATCATATCATAGTAAAAAAATCTTGGCATGTCAACCTGTCAGCCGACGTCGCTGTCTGGGAGATCTAGAGCTCTCCGTACGGTACTGTAGCCGGGAAAAAACGCCCTGCCTCGGTTCAATTTTGCCTCTCCTTGGATCTTCTCGCATCGACCACAGTCTTTCGCCCTCTAGTGAACCCTTCATAAAGCCAAACCTCCCCACTGCCTGAAGCCCACTATACCTGCTCTTCCGCCCCTCCTATTACTTTGCACGGAATCTCGTCCCAGAGCACTATAATAATAATTAATAACAACCCTGAACTCCTACCCGTCTCATAATGACGCCGAGTGAGTTCTCCAACGATGAGTAATCCTGGTATTATATGAACTGACACGTGCTTCAGAAATCCAAACCGATCTCACTAAGCTCTTCGGCATTGAGCATCCGGTTCTCTTGGCCGGAATGAACGTTGCTGCTGGTCCTAAGCTTGCTGCTGCCGTTACGAATGCCGGTGGTCTTGGTGTTATTGGTGGCTTGGGGTACTCTCCAGACATGCTGAGGGAACAAATTGCCGAGCTCAAGGGTTATTTGAACCACGAGAATGCACCTTTCGGTGTTGACCTTTTGCTCCCGCAAGTTGGCGGCGGTGCCAGAGCTACCAACTATGATTACACCAAGGGTAAATTAGATGAACTTATCGACATCATTATCGAGAGCAGGACAAAGCTTTTTGTCAGTGCTGTCGGTGTCCCACCAAAGGCTGTTGTTGAGAAGCTCCACAAGGCTGGTATCGCCTATATGAAGTAAGCTTTCATCCGGCCTTTTTTCCACGTCATCGATGCAAAACAATAACGATTTACGGTAATCAGCATGATTGGACACCCCAAGCACGTCCAGAAGGCACTTGACGTCGGCGCCGACATCATCTGTGCACAGGGCGGCGAAGGGGGAGGTCACACTGGTGTTGTCCCTACATCCATCCTCATCCCCACTGTTGTCGATATGGTTAAGGGCAAGAGGTCACCTCTTAATGGCCTACCCGTGACTGTGGTGGCTGCTGGTGGTATCTACGACGGAAAGTCGCTTGCGGCATCTTTAATGATGGGTGCCAGCGCTGTCTGGGTTGGGACACGGTTCATTCTTGCTGAGGAGGCTGGTGCGCCCAAGGCCCACCAGGAGGCCGTAAGAACCGCTGGCTTTGATGACACCGTTAAAACTACGATTTTCACTGTATTTCTCCCACCACCCTACCTATCCACGGCTATGCTGACCTCTACCCAGGGCCGCCCCCTTCGTGTCCGCAAGAACCCGTATATCGCTAATTGGGAGGAGAACCGCAGCTCAGAGATCGAAGATCTCACAAGCAAGGGTATCATCCCCGCCGAGCACGATATCGAGCAACTTGATAAAGATGGCAAGCTTGACGACGACATTATGGCTAGCGCTAGACCATTCTTGATGGGTAAGGTTGCTGCCGTCGTCAACGATAAGAAGCCTGCCAAGCAAATTGTTGACGAGATGGTTGATGAGGCTGTTGTGATGTTGCAGAAGGGCCAGAAGATGCTTGCCAAGTTGTGAGCTGTTTCTGGTGCTGTGTAGAGGGTCAGGATAGTAAATAGGGTTGAGCTTCCCCCCCCCCCTTTATTCCAGCGTGTATATACCTTATTTGTTTTTCTACTGGTTACCCACTTAAATACGATCTTTGGGGAAGTCTGAAACCGCTGTAGCCGAAATGTTAATCGTGCCCATGGGGATCCCCACGCATGAGGCGGTGAGACCACCTACGGTATTCGATTCCTCGCAGAACACAAGATTCTCTCAAGCACTTGCCAGTACTGCGGTTCCGGGAATTTTCTTTGTATGATACCAAGCGCAACCTTCAACACAAGCACTTGTGTGGCACCGTGAGGTTCGCCATGGCTCTGCGGGAGCAGTGACACGGTATCACACTCATGCTAAATTTGACGCAGCACCGTATCGTACGAGTACTTTATGTCTACCCTACCATACTCGAGTGCCCGATCAATGGCGCAATACCACTTAGCATTAGTTGCCCTCTTTCCTGTGCACAAGACGCCTTTTCAAGTTAAACCGGGGGAATCGCTAGCCAATCACGGTCGGCCCATTACGAATTAGATACATTTCCGGAATGGATGGACTGAATCCAGGCTTGGGCGGCGGTTTATCCGACGCCCGAAAGAGCCGCATAGTCTTGTGGTTGGCACGTGCCTGAGGCAATAGTCTACGGTATTTGAGTTGAGCCAGGACAAGCAAGTGATTGATTGACTGGTTGGTTTGGTGGACCACGTGTTCTGAGAAGGAGGTTATGTGAATTACGGTATCATATATACGTTGAACGATGGGGAGTCCTATATTTGGGCGTATAGGATAGGGTATTCAGATGGATTCGAATTGCCAACCATTCAACTCAACCACTGATAATCCAACATCAGCTTTTACTCTCTACAACCTCTAAGTAACAACCTCACGCTTCAGAATGCTCAGGTCCGTTCGTATGACTCGGACGATGTTTCGCTTGCCAAGGGCTCCTGCGAGAACACAATACTACTGGTGCTTTACAAGCATTGGAGATGAAGTACATGAGCTAGGACATGAGGAGAAACCGAGAGGTGGGACCTGCGAACCCTCGTCAATGAGTCGCTTGAGCAGCGAGTCTTCCGTGTGGGGGATGGACCTCTCCGGATCACAAAGGTGGGGAACCGATTTATTGGTTTGAAAGTTCGAATATTGCCAATTAGCTAGGGTGTCGGGGATATGAAAAGGTATTTGGGAACAATAAAGCGGCAGATGGGGGTGGCCCTTTCGGCAATGACTGGGGGGGGGGGGAGTGGAACCGTGTGTGCTTATTAGCTCCTCCCGGTTGTGTTGTCTGCTTGAAATTTGCTAACATATCTATACTCGAGTACAGATACTCGTTTTCCTAACTAAGGAAAAGTTAAAGAGTCAATCACCCTCAGCCAATCCAACCGCTCGACAGATCGACCAAATTCAGGAGCTGCCGAGGAAGGCCCCAATAGACGCTGCAAGGGAAATGGACTCAAATACCGGCACAGTTACACCTGGCTATCTCGGACGATCAAAATCCGAAGAAACTGTCGGGGACAACAAGTGATCCAGGGAAATGGGCCAAGTTTTGGTGTGAGAATTCTTTAAATTTGCAGAATTTCATACAGGACAGCGAGGTTTGACTGTACTAAAGACTTGGAGAGAGTCTGAACTGGTCTAGATCATCTGACGTCTGTTTTTTCTTCTTTTTGTTTTACCACAGGATAGGGTGTTTTGAACATTTGCCCGAGAGTACTCCGCATCCGATTTTTTCTCCTTTTGTATACAGAGGAATCTGGTGTTTCCAGTATCGTACTTAGTTGGAAGCAATCCGGGTCAAGTCCTTCCCTATCCCTTTATTCTGGAAACTGGGTGTTTTCTAGGCTAGGGGCCTACCGTAGTTGACTGAAATTAGGGTCTGAATTTTGTTTTTATAGATGAATAGATTGTTTTTAGCAACAGGTTGACAACAGTGTGCGTCTGTCTTTTTTTTTTAATGTTTTTTTATACGTAAATACAGTAAAGGCTTGTGAAATCCATCGCCTCCGGCCGCTGCCCATTGCATGATAGGGTTAGCTTGATAGGATAGCAGGATTGCAAATATTGGTACTTGTACATCTTACTCGCATTCGGGTACCGGCATTGTAGCCACCATGATACTCTAGTACCGGTGTCAGGCGGGGGGGAGAGAAGAGTTTGGTGCCACGCCGGTGACACAAGCCCTGAGGATTGTTTGTAGGAATGAGAATTTTGAAGGACTCGTGGAACTAGTAAAATCGGGGGGGGGGGAAGGGGGGTCGAAAACGCCAATCCATAGTTCTCATTATCAGTCGTGATGGTGAGCTCCAAGTTATCGATATTCTTGTTGAGGCCGGGTATTCGGGCACCGGTGAACGGGCAGTTGGCTCAACGGTCACGACAGGACTCTCCAGGATTGTTACGATAGAAGGTTGGGGGGTTCGATTTCTCACATGGGATCCCTTGAGCTGAGATCTTCTGTGTTACTTGTATCGCGTTTTTATTCATTCCTTGATGTCTCCGGGTCGGGCCGCTAGACTTGATCCTTACTCTTATGATGCGGGTATGATACACCGATCACGGCACTGGGGTGCTCGCTGTGAGCATTGATGTTGGGTCTTCGATACTACGTAGGGTGGCCGACTACCGGTGGTAACGGTCCGGAGTGTGTTGACTGTGCCTCCATAGCTGCGACCTTCCTAGTGAGATGTCTTATTACTAAGGACTGGGTGGAGGACACTACAATATATACCAAATTCTGGATTCAAAAGGTCGGAATAGTAGACAAGCTCATAATCGTGGGATATAGCTCGGAGAGGCCGGACGAGTGAAGGATTAATTCATGGGTCGATAACCGCTCTGCCCGGGCCATTCGAATTGGTGGGGTGGTCGCCATCGAGATGATGGCACGTGATCAGCCTCATATCAGGGTTGGTTGCCCGAGCCACAAAGGGAGGTAAACACAGAGCCGAAAAGGGAGCAAACACAACAGCATCAGCCGGAAAAGAAAAGAAAAAAAAGTATAATATTCTGATTCCTTCCAAGAGAATTATTACTATCAATATCACCATCCTCCCCTGTTGGAATTTTATTATTCTGACAGTTCCTGGCTTTTATTTGCTGTCTGCACTATCATTATTGGATCTACCTATCTGGTTGTCTTCAGCTTCTTCTTGGTAGAGCTTTTTACAACCTATTCATACAAAATTGTATTTGGTGTTGAATAGGACTGAGTTTCCTTTCCATACCCTCCCCTTTTGAGTGTTTCTAATGGGCTACTAGGCCACTGATAGAATGGTCTATAGGCTGTAAGCTAGACCAAGGCAGGCTACTCTAGTAGTAAGCCTAGGCAGATATAGGCTAACTTGAAACTCTACTAGCCTACAGAAGCCTATCAGGCCTAGTAGGAGCCTACAGGCCTACAACTAAGATATTTAGAGCTGATTGTTTTAAGTATGGCTCAATTCCTTAAAACTTTTATTGTAGTTGGCAATAGTTAATATGATTACAGGTCTACAGCCAGCTCAACAAAGTCCAAGAAATCTACCTCCAGATTCTCCAATGTAGTCCTATCTCACAATACTTCCATCTGATTCACTTTCTTCCACAGTAACTCCCTTAAATCCATGAGCAAATATGCCTGCTATGATTGACCCAGTTCTATTAGACCTCAGCAATTTTTGTGAACCCTGAGCAAATCCATATCACTGCCCACATATAGGATCAGTACCTAATACTATTAGTAATCTTGCTGATACTCGTTCAATTCTACTTGAGTATTAACACCAACATGTGGAATTTGTATAGGGACTATGTGACTTCCGATTCTCACCGGAATAACATGGACTAGTTTAGTAGGGTGAAAGATGAGCCGAATGGATACCAAAGATCTGAAGAGATTGTAGGCTTGGCAATATAGGCCGGGCCAAATCCCCAATAGTCGTGGCAGGCCGGGCCGGGCCCAGCTTTGGTTCAGCCTGGCCTACCTGGCCAGTTGGCAACACTGACCCTTTCTATATAATTGCTAGTCCAATAGCTGCAATCTTATGAAAAGTATATGATGGTATTATAATCCCCATAGTAGAGTGTTGCCATGGTTGAGAGGATAGATGTGGCAGAGCATGGGAGCACCGGTACATGTAGAGACATGTATGGGAAATGTATTAGTGGAGGTATACATGTATGTGGTGCTTGCAGGCACAGATGGGTATGAGGGTTTACCCTCTTGTGGTGTCTTCCATCTATGTATTAGATAGCTTGCCACCTTTCGTGGACAAGAACAACACACTTCTCAACATCTCCGATCCCACTAAAAACTGTGCAAGTCCACCACCTCCATCAGTATACATACAAGTGAGCTTTAATGATTATGATATTGAGGTTCCCGGTGTATTCCCTGCTTCTCATTTGTCAACAGCATCTGGTACACTCATCCCTCCCCTATGCTTTTCCTTCCCCAGGATAACACCAATACCTGGTACGGCCGCCTTGCCCAAATTTCCTGGTCAAAAATCAACTCTCTGGTGGAAATAATTTTGACCCAGACCCACTCTCGCATGAACCTGATACCTCATAGCAGGAACAGACATTCGGTAACCAAGTCACGGAATCTGAGTTCCTTGATTATTCAGATCCCCACCAGACTTCCTCCTATCCCGGAGGCAATATTGTAGGGTATAAGGGCCCCTGAGAGCAGTATACAGTGGAGCTGATAGCTGTTGAATCTGTTTAGGGTGGTATCAGGGTTCTTCCAGGGTGTAGTCTTGTAGCGCCATTGGGGGGGAGCCAAGTAGGAACATGTGGAACTTTCACACAGGAGTGGAGCTGGCAGTCAATGCCAGGATAGATGTTTAGAGGTCTGCAAGGAAGGAAAAGGCAGTGTTCCCAACCGTCCGGGGGCCCGGCGGGGCCCCACAGGGGGACTGCCAAGAACCCTGGACGGGACGGGACGGCCATGTGCAGTCCGTCCCGGGCGGTGAAAGTACTCGTAGAGGACGGCCGTCTTTGGGCAAGACGGCGGGCCCTATGAGGTGAAACAAGCTTGGCAGGGGGGACGGTGGGGCACTACCGGGGACTGCGGGGGACTGTTGGGGACGGCAGGGGACTATTATTTTGTTCCTAGAACCTTATGCGGCAGGACCGTAGTCCCCGCTAGTCCGTCCAGTCCTACCGGTCCCAGGCATAGTCCGTCCTGACACCCCCAAAAAGACGGACTACCAGCTATAGTCCGTCCCGCCCTACCCTAAAGACGGACGGACTGGACGGTTGGGAACACTGGGAAAAGGTGTATGGAGGAATGGAGAATTGCTTCGGGAGCCAGGTGGATGATAGTTTACATTTATCAGGCTCCAGCCAGTGTAAACATAAGTATTGCCCAAAGCCTGTTTACATGCATGATTAACTTCCCTCCTCACCAACTGGTAGCTTGAAGAGCGACATGATACCTACTTTTATAAAAATAATAATTCCCTCCTGGCTCCGGCCAAACTAGCCCCAACTCTTTTCGAGCCTAATGACTTCTAGTTAGGGAGAACAACTCTAATGAAGTGCAAGAACGCTGCACAGGCAAGCGAAGTACTAAATAGGATTGTGTCATTACTGACGCTTCTGTTTTACAGATTATTGGGCACATCAAGAGACGCGCAATGGTAAACGTAACACAGAGGTATAGGAGTAGTTAAAAAAAAACCCATACTTTCCTTTACTTAGAAACCTCCCAATCACTTATTCAACCACGTCCCCCTCTGTCAACCCCTTACTCACCTCGATTCCTTTCTCACAACCACTGATTCACCTCAATCCAGACGCAAAAAATGAAATCCGCAATCCTCAGTATGTCAAAGGATGCACCCGAGTCCTGCTGTATCCTACTAAAGTTACTAAGTTGTTACTAAGTTGTTACTAACGCTTTATGCAGGAATTATGAAAAAACACGGGGGTAACTTGCAGTGTTCCCAACGAGCCAGGTAGGCCAGGCTGAACCGAAGCCGGGCCCGGCCTGCCACAACTATGGGGGATTTAGCCTATGAATACGGGCCTACAACCCCCTCAGATCCTTGGTTTCTGCTCGGCTCATCTCCCATTCCACTAAACTAGTCCGATTTACTCCCATGAGAACTGTAAGTTACATAGTCCCTACGCAAATTCTACGCACTGGTATTAACGGAATAGAACAAGTATCAGTAAGATCACTAATATTATTAGGCACTGATCCTATGTGCGGGTGGTAATATGGATTTGCTCATGGTTGATGAAAACCTCCGAGGTCTAATAGGACTCGGTCAACCATAGCGGGCACATTGACTGATGGATTCCTGCCGGAGAAACTGAATCGGAAGGAAGGATCGTGAGATAGGCCGGTTGAGTTCGGCCTATATCCGCCTAGGCTCATCGTCAGAGCGGCCTGCCTTGGCCCAGCCTACGGCCTATAGGCCGGCCTATCACTGGCCTAGCCCGTTGGGAACACTGGTAACTTGTGGAGGGGAACAGCCCTACTCGTAACGACGGGAGAGACAAAACAACTTGCGTCAGAACAGAAGGGAGCAAGAACGCAGTGCCAAGCAGTTGGCAATCGAGAATCGTGCGGAGCGAGACTACCGTCGGCAAGAGTTAGAGTTGATGATGGACTTTTGGGGAAAACAAATCGAGCAGATGAACAAGTCAGAAAAGGCCTCTCCTCCAGCAGCTACGCCGGTCCCTCCAAAACCCACTGGGAATTAGGGCCTGGGAGTTGGATACAAGGGTGGGGGTGCCCGGGGGGTTGACGGTGGGGGGGTGGGGCAAAATGGCCAGTTCCGCAAAAGTGATCGCTTTACAGGACAAATGTGCCTAGCTACCATGTGAGTATCTTCAAGGCCCGCATACAACTAAAATTTCTCATCAACTGTAGGAGTTCAAATTAGGGCGGTTCTAGTGGTTGTGGAGCTGGACGTTTTGCTTTTTCGTTATTTTTATATTGTTTGTTTCAGGATGGTACTGTAGAATTCGGTCGTAGTGTTCGTGGGTAAAAGCTATCAATCTCCTGCCTACCAGGGTCGTCTTTGAGGAACTCGAGGTCTCCACGAATATACATAACGTCCTCCTGCTCCTGTACCTTCTTCTCGTCATCACTCAATAGCTCTGGACAGAAGCCGCAACAGTCCACAACCACGCCCCTAACAGCGCCAAGAAATACGGGGTGTCAATGAGGATGGACGGTGCGGTGAGGGGGGGTATTCTGGGGGTTCCATTCCACGTTCAATAGGAGATCCCTCTTGATAAACAGCCTCTCAATCCTAGCTCATGTTAATTGGATGTCCATCGCAAGTTATCAGGGGAGCTCACTTCTTAGCGTCGTAGCCCGGCCCGTAAGGAATTGAGAATTTCTCGTAATTCGAGATATCCTCAAAGTTCCATTCGGCAAGATCCCCATCCGTTCCCTGCTTTTTGTCGCCTCGATTCTTGTTCATCCAGAGCGAGGCGTAAGGGTCCATCGGGCGTCCCATCTCCTCCTTTCTCTGGCGTACATATGCATCCCGTGTTTCAGGCTCAGGGAGGGCTTCAAGGACGAGAAGCCTAGCCAAACCAACAGTTCGATGAACGCTCGTTCGTAGATAGTTGGGTCGATGCGCGAGCGGTCTAGAAGGGCGGACAGTAAACCTCGAACCCTCGACGGGAATACTTGGCAAGACGATTCTCATATGCTGATCCACTATTGGAGCCCGGAGAATAACCACGAGAAAGAGGAAGCGAGAAAAAAAAAGGAGGGCTGGTTACAAGGGGATCTTCTGGTAAAGTCAATGTCACGCATTGCTAAATTGAACCATAATATTGAGTGAAATCGGTTGTCGCCAAGACTGCCGAGCCTCGCTGAGGGTGCTGCCTCGCTGAGCTCTCACCCGGTTTATGCGGGGGGCCGATAAGCTCCGCATTCCCGCCAAGCTGTTAACTTATCCAATAAACCCGATATGATACCATGCCAGTACGGTACGACACCGGGGTGGTGGGTGACTCCTAGAATCAACCCCCCAGGATGGTTCGATCTTGAATGGTAATAGGCTCCTCGGCAGTAACTCCTATCCAGGATGTGAAGCTACCAAGTGATGGGCTACCTGTAGAGGCACGGGTACAGCGCTCGTAGGAGTGAGGGAATTGGAAGAGGATAAGATGTTAGGCTTTGGACTCGAATACAAGGCTGGTTATAGTGATTGGACAACGCGTACAGTACCCGATCGTTCACCGGAAATGACTCGGTTGATAAGCACTTGTCTACAGCACCCGTATCGTATTATACTACCGGTCTACCGGTACTCGAGTACGGGTGCGGGATGATACCGGTACCGGTGTTGGTGTGAATAGCCAACCACCATGCACTCGAGTACCGATAGAGCACCGGTAGGCACCGCCGCACTGGCAACTTAATCTATTCTGCCAGCCCAGAGACATCATGAATTTACATCCTCCACACACTTGTCCGTACATGCAGGAGTTGTGAGTCATGACTTGGCTAATTCGATGACTCGTGCTATGCACTCATCGGCCAATGGCCGACTGACATCCCGACTGCCTCATACCCTGCGGGGCGTGACCACGGGTTATGCTAGCCATAACGCGTTCCTGGAACGACGCGTTTGACTCACGCGCTGGAGGACCATACGGCGCAAGGTGAAATCCAAGATTCTGCCATAAAGAGGGGAGGAGGAGGCCCGTTGATCAGATTTTTCACCCTCACAATCAACTACTGGTACCGGTATTCACAAACATATGATACCAGAAGGAAGAAAGACAGAGGAAAAAATCATTAAAGTTGCTTTGACACCATTCAAGAGCCGAAAATACGATAAACATGCCTCTCAAATCCAAGATGCCCCTACCTGTGATCCCCGTCCCCCTTCCTGAGCGGCTCCCGGAACTTCCCGTGCCCCCCGCCAAATTCCTTCACCACGTTCAGGCAAACCCGGGCGTTCCCGTTCGCCAGCTCCTTGAACCGTTCATCGAGTACGAGACGGCTCTCCGTGCCTACTTTGCTCAGGCTCCCGACCATCAATTTGTCAAGGGCGATGTCAATCTCATCTCGCTGTTCGAGGATGGGAATGATGGTTTGCTCAGGATTCGTGGGAGAAGAGTTGATGAAGAGGGTCGGGAAGAGCAGAAGAGGTATATTGTTCCTCTCCGGGGGAATATACGACTTGTACTGACTCCGGGGCTGCAAGGTATGTGATGCCATTGAGCGAAAAGGGCCGGAAGCCCGACGGGGAGCCAGCCTTGGTCACTTCATTGGAGGTGTTCAGGAAGAACTTTTCCATCTTTAGTGAAGGAGCTTTGATGAACCTTGATTGGAGTCATGTTGTTGGTCAGTGCTCCCTCCCCATCTTTGCTGCGTCCGGGGGCTAATGTTGCTCAGCCGCTGGCTCGTCCGTCCTAACCCCCCTCCTACGCACGCCCGAGGAGCAGGGCGAGAGCCTGAGGTCGCTCCGCGAGTATTATCATGATAATCTTGCTCCCGCCTCGGACATTGATTTGTTCATCCATGGGATTGAAGACCCACAGGAGGCCATCGAAAAGATGGCGGCCATTGAGAGCACTGTCAAGGATAACCTTCTTTGGGAGACAACGTGAGTGGTGCCGGGCACGCGCCGTTAATCGAGCTAATCCAAGTTGGTCAGCACTGTGAGAACCAAGAACACCATCACCATTGTCAGCCAGTATCCGAACAGACATATTCAGATAGTCTTGAGGCTGTACAAGAGCGTCTCTCAGATCCTTACTGGCTTTGACGTGAATTGTGAATCCACCTGTCATTTCTCGCTTTCACCCTTTTCAGAATAATGGCTAATATCATAGCACATCTTAAGGCGCATGTGTGGCCTATGATGGCACCCGAGTCCTGGCGGTTCCTCGTGCGTAAGTATAACAATATGGTCGTGGGCTTGTCACCGAATACCTTGAGGCTAAAGCTCGCTGTAGTATCGCAGCTGCAATGACTCAATGCAACGACATTGACCTTACCAGAAGATCCCCTTGTAACCAGCCCTCCTTTTTTCTCGCTTCCTCTTCTTTCTCGTGGTTATTCTCCGGGCTCTAATAGTGGATCAGCATATGAGAATCGTCTTGCCAAGTATTCCCGTCGAGGGTTCGAGGTTTACTGTCCGTTCCTAGACCGCTCGCGCATCGACCCAACTATCTACGAACGAGCGTTCAATCGAACTGTTGGTTTGGCTAGGCTTCTCGTCCTCGAAGCCCTCCCTGAGCCTGAAACACGGGATGCATATGTACGCCAGAGAAAGGAGGAGATGGGACGCCCGGTTGACCCTTACGCCTCGCTCTGGATGAACAAGAATCGAGGCGACAAAAAGCAGGGAGCGGATGAGGATCTTGCCGAATGGAACTTTGAGGATATCTCGAATTACGAGAAATTCTCAATTCCTTACGGGCCGGGCTACGACGCTAAGAAGTGAGCTCCCCTGATAACTTGCGATGGACATCCAATTAACATGAGCTAGGATTGAGAGGCTGTTTATCAAGAGGGATCTCCTATTGAACGCGGAATGGAACCCCCAGAATACCCCCCCTCACCGCACCGTCCATCTTCATCGACACCCCGTATTTCTTGGCGCTGTTAGGGGCGTGGTTGTGGACTGTTGCGGCTTCTGTCCGGAGCCATTGAGTGATGAGGAGAAGAAAGTACAGGAGCAGGAGGACGTTATGTATATTCGTGGAGACCTCAAGTTCCTCAAAGACGACCCTGGTAGGCAGGAGATTGGTAGCTTTTACCCACTCGGCCCGGAAGACTATACTGAAATGGCATATGTTGGAAACACGGAGCGATTCTGCCAGGCTATTGTTAAAAATGACCTTGAGTTCGTCAGGTCTTGGTGCGCTACGGAGGAGGGGAAGGCAGGCATCAATCGTCGGGACTTTTGCGGCCGAACTCCATTACATTTGGCTGTGCTGAACGAGGGCACCCTGGTCGAAATTGTGCAGGTCTTGGTTGACACTGGCGCAAGGCTCGTGGCAAGAATCCAGGATGGACGCACGGCGCTCCACATTGCGGCAGGAAAAGGGAGGATCGATATCATCACCGCGTTACTCAAGAAGAGCGAAGAGAACGAGCATGAAAGGGACTTCAGGGATGAAAATAGGAGAGCCACTGAAAGCCCGCGAGCCGGAGAAGTCGGGGCCGATGGAAACGAGAAAATGTCGGAATCGATTCACTCTCAGTCAGAATTGTCTGGCGAAGAATTTGAGTACATGAGAGTCGGGAGTGGGTCAATCGCTGCGGAAACCGCCACTGATGGCTCCTACGTGAGGGTGAGAAGGGGTAAAGAGGAGGAGGGGCCGGTAGAAGGGGCGATTGATGATGATGAGGACCAGGACGATATATATGACATTAATGTCGTTGATTGGGATTATCAAATGACGCCCCTCCACCATGCTATCGTTCGTGGCCACTGTAGCGCCGTTGAGTTATTGGTTTCTGACTTTGGAGCCGATCCACTTATGCCTATGAAGATCTTCGAGAGGGGGCACGGGGGACGCAAGGTGCCGAGAGCAGCTGTACTTGTCCTTGTTCTTATTTATCAACTCCCTAGTGAAAAGCAAGCTGAGATGGCTGCTACGCTGCTGAGGGTGGGTGCAAGGACATCGCAGGCCGATAGCTTCTCCAAAACCAATGGATTGCTGCACGCAGTGGCGCATGACGCAATGCCTGTTTTGGAAAAGATGTTTGAGCTCGATGGCCCGGGGGCGAGGAGCATTCTCAATAAAGCCTCCAGTTACAACTTCCAAAATGAAGTGACTACACCTCTTACAGCCGCCATGAGAAAAGCAGGAGCAAGCCAATCGCTCGATATTGCGAATTGCCTTCTTGACAAGGGTGCAACTGGGTATGTCAAGTTCGACGATTTTCACCGCTGTTTGAGGGCCTGTCACGCTTCGCCGTACTCAGGTCATAACAACGATCAATCGTACAAGACACTCAAACAAACCATCGAGATCTCCATCGAATGTGAATATACATGTGCGCTCATACCACGCCTTATAAAGGCGGGGGCAGACCCATCGGCTATCACTTCGTCTACAGCGAGTCTATGGGATTTCGCCCATGCCACAGGACCACTTCACACCCCGGGCGAAACCGTTCTTGACCAGTTACGCAATAAGATTGAAGGATACCGCAATTTCCTCAAGACAGAGCCGGAACCGGCCGTTGTTTGGAATCAGGATCCGCTCCCTGCCTCTTTTCTTGATGGCTTCCCAGAAGGGTCCTGGGAGCGATTCACTGCTGAATTTGCTTGGAAGAGAGAAAACAAGGCTCGAGGGGTTAGGTCGGCGGGTGTTGGGCAATCTGTGTTTAGGGTGGCTCGGGCGGTAGAGCCAGGGGCGAAGAAGACGAGGAAGAACGTTGAGAAGCTTTTGCGATTATTCGAAGAGACTGAGAAGGTGTTAGTAGAGGCTGGGGCAAAGACTTTTGAAGAGTTATACCCGGACAGGATGCCAGTCCCACCCGCGGTGCAACCCACACCTACCATCCCCCCCCCCGGTCTGTTTAATCAGGGCGGTGGGGGTCTCTTTGGCAGCCCAACGACCCCACACGCTTTCGCAGTGCCTTTTCAGGTCTCGATCCCCTGCGAAAAGGGTACGCTTGAACGGTATAGCGAGTTATTCAATGCAGTTTGGAAAGGAGATCAGGAAACTGTAAAGACTCTCACAACAGGCCCATCCGGGGAACCCCCTATGCCAGCTCTTCAAATTTCCGTGACTAGCCGTGGATGGACCACACTGTGGATCGCTGTCCACCGCCGCGACTACGCCATGGCTAGACTGATATTGGAGATCGTGAAATCTCAATACGAAGAGCCGCGAAAGAAGCAAGCTAGAGGCGCGGTTAGGATCAATATACCTGGCGACACCGACGATGATGATGATGACAGTGGGCATTATTTCCAGGATGCTGGCGATGAGGACTTCACTATTGAAGATACTGGTGCAGTGTCTGACTTCGTCAAGTGCAGCGTTTCCCCATATGATTTTATATGCCAGGGCCCGCCCCAATTGGACGAGCTACTAGGTGAAGAAGAGGAAGCTTCACTTAGGAAGCAGAATCTGTTTCGGGTAAGACTGATACAAAAGTTTCCCATGGAGGTTCTTGAACTGATTGTTTGCACCAAAATAGTGGCTTGAGCAGTGGACCATACTCTCGTTGTCAATATACAAGGACGATCCAGAACTCTTCGAATTTATATTGTCAGCTGTGGAGGAGTCTGGCGGGCCCGACGCCGCCCAGAGTTACATCCTCCCATTCGAAGGGATGCGGCGGTATGACTACTGTGCATATGTCAGACTGGCACTTGCCCATGGCCGGATTTGGGTTTTGGAGGAGCTGATGAAGCGCTATACCTTTGGGATTCACTACGATTCATTGAGGGAACAAGATCACGATGTTCAGAATGCTAAGCCCAAGTATTACCGGGGCCTAATAGTCAATGGCACAAGAGCACGAGTAGACGACCCATATGAAACCCGCTCACTAGACACAAGAGATATCCAAAAGCCACTACAGGTGGCGGCATACTTTGGAAATCTTGACTCGATCAAATGGCTTTTGAGTGACCGGCCCCGGAGATGTCTCGATTCGTTCATGGACCTCAAGCCTGGAAATGAGTGTGTCAAGTTACTAAAGAATCAAGGAGACGCACTGCCAAAGATATTCAGAGAGTCACTTGGCTTAGACAATAGACATCTCCCGCATATTTGCTTGTTGGGGTGGGCCGGGCCTGATCCAATGGAGGCTTTCCGGTTCTTGCTTTCACGCCCCGGGTCCCTGGACTCTCGCACTCACTCTGGTCTCACACCTGCGTTGTTCGCGGTTGCCAAACATCGGATTCCCGCAATCAAATACCTCCGTCGAGAGGATGTTGCCGCTGATTTTTCCACCCGTGATTTTATGGGCCGGAATGCCCTGCACTTGACTTTTTGCGACACCAACAATAGCCCTAACCCGTCAGTCCCTGCGGTCGAAGAAACAGTGAAGCTTCTTCCCGAAGATAAACTGGCGGATATGTTCTTGCAACGCACACGGCGTCACGGACGCACGCCCCTTGCACACCTTCTTCACCAATTAATCCAAGCTCCCATGTACGGGAGCTTCCGGTTCCCCCCTGCCGGTATCAATGTCCTTCTCAAGTACTCCAAGGGTAACGAGTTGGGGCTTTTCGACTCTGAAGGGAATCTCCCGATTCACAGTGTATCCGCATCCCCTCCCCTTCTATCCTTCGAGACCTCAATGCTGACATGGGTGATCACTAGGTCCTCCGAAGCAACCTGGTGATTACCGCCCGCCTGCTCCTTGCCCTCAAACCGGAACACATAAACACGGAAAACGCCTCGGGCCGTACCCCGCTAGAAATTGCGACGAGCAACTACCTCACCAAGATCTCCCAAAACTGCCAGACTTTAGCCACCTGGGGCCACCACAATAGTGCCATCCACCCCCAGTTCCTTGGTTTCCCCACTCCGGAGAGCCGCGCGGTGGGGTCCACAGATGGAGAAACGGCGGAGGAGGAGTGGGATGCACCTGATGTAAATGCCGCGTTCGAGCTCGCGTGCAAGGCGGCAAAGGAGGTTGGGTGCGGCAGGACATTGGTCAGCCTGCACGAGGCGCGGAGTCTCGTGCAGAGGCTGCAGGGCAGCGAAGAACCACCTGTTAGCGAGGAGGATGAACAGTTCGACCCTATGTGGGCGGTAATGTGAACCGTGATACCAGGGGTATCGGGTGGGGTTGGCCGGCCGGTTGACTGAAGGAGACTTTTTTGTATTTTGATTGTTCGTATTTTACCTCGCGGAGATATTTTTATTCACAATTATCGAGCATGATAATGTGAGAGCAGCAATCACAACTTATCACTCGCCCGTTTTCCAATCATCCTCTGATGAATTAGATCCGAATGTGCTATGAGCCCAGGACATTGAAACTTTCACAAGTAAGGTGGCGTGAGAGCTGGTGTTAACTATCTCTTGGCTATATAATGTTGTAATTCACCAACCACCCGTCTTGTTTGTTTATTTTTCTTCCCCCCACCCCCTTTCTTATCTTATTTTATTCTGCCCTATCTTACGAGGACAGCTTAATTCCATTGTGTGGATAGAACTTGGAGAATTATACCATAACCACATTTCCCATTACAAGTGCGCCGGGCCGGGAGAGTAAATGGCCACAGAAGCTAATTCCAAGCCAAGATTAATGATAAGAACATATTGTATTACGGTGCTTAACATTATTTTCTAAATTGTGCGTTGGGCTGTTATGCAAAAAAAGAGAGAGAATATGATATTATTATGCTGAGCTCTATCACTCTACTTGTGACCACGTGTGAATTCCAACAGTTCGCTTTTGGTTTATTGGTAAATGGGATTGTGGCCGGAGGGGATGGGTGGTATCGAACGTTGGTGCTCCGCTCTGTTTTGGTCACCTCCCCGTGGCTAACTTAGGGGGTGTTTGGCCCGCCAAATCTGATTTGAGATCACGATTTGAGATCAGATCTTGGCAAATTTAACTTGGATTATTACTTCTAATTACATACAGTTCCTATATTAATAGTATAAATAATCTAAGTTAAAGTTGCCAAGATCTGATC